ATATGCTATGAAAAATTTTCTTGAAGGGGACATAATTCTTAAGTTCTGCCTTTTATCTTGCCTTGGCACTGGCTTTGCATGGCCTTAGTGATGTTGCACAAAACAGAGGTAAGCCTCACTTCCCTAAAGCTTACCTCTGTAAGCATTAGCAGTTTTGAGATGTAGGGACTGAAGTTCCACTATGATTGCACTGGGGAGGAACACATTTGCTGGGTGACTGATCCCTTTGGGCATTGCCTGTTTTGCTGCTGAATATTCCTGTTTTGCTGCTGAATATTCCTGTTTTGCTGCTGAATATTCCTGTTTTACTGCTGAATATTCCTGTTTTACTGCTAAATTTTGCAAGAATACTTGGGTATAGAGCACTTTTTTTGCTACAGAGTAGTCTATTCAATGGGGGAAATAAGCAGCACAAGCACTGAAAACTCAACAGAGAGCAGAGGGGTAACGGGATGATGATATACTGGTGTAGGATAAATTATCTTCTTCAGCTAGATGCCTTTCTTGGGTCTGCTTCTCAGTGTCACGCAGGGCTCATCTCCCTCAGTAAGAGGAGCCACTTGTTCTGGTTGTCAGTGGGGAAGAGCTCCCGCACCAGCCGGCAGCCGCCATGCTCTCCGCCCTGGTTCAGAGGGGACCCTTGGTGGGGCTGGCAGGGCTGCCTGCAACCAGACCAGGGCGGTTGCTGCTGGGCAATGGGAGGCACTCTTCAATCACAAGCTATGAGCCTGAAGGACATCCCTTTCTAATCTTCTCACCAGCCCTTTTGCTTTCATACAGCCAGTTGGGGAGGGGTGGAGAAAAATGCTTTTGGATGCTGGCTGATATACTGTTATATCACTTACTGTACAATTTTTCGGTATGACAGAAGCCAAAGTTCAGCAGCCTTGAAAATGCCTCTGAAATCTTTTTGTCAAAACTTTAACTGAGGTCACCTATCTTAAGAAAAAGGCATGGAAGGCAGGCACAGCAGTTTATGGTTTGGGCTTCCCCTTTCATCATTTTTGTACTTGAACGATAACTGTAGCTGTTATCCTAGTGTAAAGGTTTGAACTAAGGAGTAAATTTTCATATATTCGTCAGGACTCTTGGATGAGTATTCTCTGTTCTGCTCTTACCTGGTTCATGACAGTTCCAAAAAACATCTAATTTACTTTTCTCCCTGAGCAGCTCCAGGATTTGTTGTGTGAGCAAAATGAGGGTAATAAAAAGCAGCAGGAGGGATGCAGACATAGTGATTTTTCTCATAGCTACGTGCATAAGCAAAGGTTCTGTAATGTACATTTAGTAGCTGTTTCTTTCTGTGTGGATACTGTATTAGCCTGCAAAACCTTGACCTGGACCGAATGGCTGGTTGCTATGGCAACAGGTTGCATAGTAACAGGTTTTGTTCCTAGGTTGAAATCATCTTGCTTTCTTAATTGTGACTTTTGGGGAGGTCAGAAGAAACTGGGAAAGTTTTTCAAAGGAGAGGCAAAAATGTTAATGTTCAGCAACCTGAGCATCTGCTGAGAGATGTTCTTTGTTCATGGCAGTGGAAGAAGGTAGTCGGCTCCCCCACCTTCTCCACTTTGTTGAAGCGGAGGTCAGCAGCTCACCAGAAAAAAAAGCAGTTCTTGGAAACAAGGTGACTGTAGGAGCTTCAGGGGAATTCGTCGGCTGTGTGACTCCCACATCCAATCCTGCTAAAGGCAGTAGGCAAATATTAACAGCTTAACACTCCAGTAACCTTGAAAATTTCTGAACTTAAAGTAAGCCCCTGATCAGCTGCTCTCCAGCTGGACTGCTTCTAAACCTCTGCTGACCTGGTCCTGATTCACACTGGAGCTCTTTATGAATCTAAATTTCAAAGAATTACAACCATACACTTCGGAAGAGAATTTTTTTGGCTTTTTGATGGCATGGCTCTGCTTGGCAAGGTCCTATGGGAGACTGCCCTGGGGGGCAGGGGGGCTGAGGTTGATCTACAGAGATGACCTCTCCAGAGCACAGGCGCCCCAAGCAGAGCCAAGCATGGCAGAAAGACCTCCTGCCTGAGCTCAAACACAAAAAAAAAGTGCACAAGCTGGGAGGGACTGTCCAGGAGGGACGTAGAGACAGTGGCCAAGCTTGCAGGGACAGAGCTGGAAAAGGCAAAGCTCAGCTGGAGCTGAAACGAGCTATGGGAAGGTTTCTCTGGGTACATTGGTGGCAAAAAGAAGGCTGAGAAAATATGAGCCTGCTGCTCAGTGGGGCCAGAGTGAAGGAAATTAAAGGTACCTGATGCCTTTTTTTGCTGTGGCTTTCACTAGTAGGGTCTGTCCTCAGACCTCCTGGGTTTGAGTCTGTAACAGAGTCTGTGGAAATGTAGCATTACCCATAGTAGAGGAAAACAGCGATATAGCTCTTGAGCTAATTGGATGTACAGCAGCCCCTGGCACCAGGCAAGGTACATCCAAGGGTGCTGAGGGACTTGGTTGATGTCACTGCGAAGTTACTTGGCGATCAGGGGAGGTTCCTGGTGACTGGAAAAGGGCAAGTATTGCACTCATCTTCAATATTGTTAAATGTCTTCATTAACCACCTGGACGATAGGATGGAGAGCAGCTTTGGCAAGTCTGTGGGTGAAATCAAACTGGGGGGAGTGATCAATACACCAGAGGGGCCTGGTAGGCTGGAGAAGCGGCAGACAGGAACATCATGAAGTTCAGCAAAGGCAAACGTAGAGTCCCTTCTCCAGGGTGGAATAACCCTGGGCGCTAGTACAGGTTGGGGACTGCCTGGCTGGAAAGTCAGAAAGTGCCCTGCAGATGCTGGTGGACAAGTTGAACCTCAGGCCACAGCATGCTCTTCTGGCAAAGAAGGCCAACTGTGTCCTGGACTGCATTAGCAAGAGTGTAGCCAACAGGACCTGGCTACACCTGCAGTGCTGTGTCCAGTTTTGTGAACCCTGGTACGAGAAATAAGTTAAATACAGGAGAGAGCCACCAAGGTGGTCAGGAGGCTGGAGCAGATGATGAACAAGGAGAGGCGTAGGGAACTGGGTTTGTCCAGCCTCCAGAAAAGAAGGGTAAGGAGGGGTATTAATGCTGCCTGCAGCTTTCTGATGGGAGGATGTAGAGGAGCTGGAGCCACACTCTTTTGGGAGATGTGCAGTGAAATGGCAAAAGGCAACGCAGGAAACTGAGTAGATACTAAGAAGAAGTTCTTGCTGTGAGGGTGGTCAAACACTGCAGCAGGGGCCCTGGGAGGTTGCCGGATTCCCAGGCAGTCAGAACTCGGCGTAGCCCTGGTGAGGCTGAGTGGGGTTTGGATCGGGTGACCTCCAGGGGCTCCTTCCAGTCAAAATCATTCTGCAAGTCTCAGTCTCTTGTTGGCCATAGAGAAAAGCAAGTGTAACTGAGAGCCCAGATCAGGACTCTGCCTGCGGGTGGAACTGAAAATGGGTTGCGTGGTTATGTTACCCTCCTTTTCCCCTCTCTCTCTCAGCCCTATACATCTCTCTTCCCTGGTGAGCAGTGTCATCAAGTTATACCTCAAATATTTGGTAATGACATGTCACTGTAATCCCCCTAGAGAACTCT